TATTATGGGAATATAATCTGCTTTCTGCCTTGGTTGTCACAAACAGTATAAAATGAGATGAGAATATGATTTAAAAACTTTAAAACGATCTGAAATATATTTACAAACAATAATAACTAACATGGTGTTTAGTATGTATCTAGCATTGCTGTGCTTTACATGTCTTATATTCATTTAACCTTCCCAGCAACACTAATGAGGGGAAAACATACCCAACATCCCATTTCTAGTCACAGAGCCAGGATCTGAACCTAAGCAGTATGATTGCAAGACTGTGTTCTTCTCCACTACACTGTATTCTGACATAAGTCAGAAACTTGGCCCTTGGGTTTGGGGTGTAGAGAATCTATATAAGAAATAAAAAACATTCATAAGGGTCTGTAGGTTTCCTCCAGGGCCTTTTGTCTATAATAGACAAAGTCCTTCAAGGGTGAGGGAACCTAATATCCCCATTTGTCTGAGATACATCTGAGACCTAAGGGGTTTAGGTCAGAGAAACAACTCTCAAATCAGTCATATGGGCACTCCTATTACAGAAAAAGTAGGAAAAGTATCTATATCCAAAGCCCTCTCATAAAAGTCATACTATAAAGTTCAGACTCCCAGGAAACCATCTGCTCTTCCTCCCTAGGTGATGGGCGCTACTCCCTCTTGGGCCAGCCATTACAGTACAATCTGTCCATCTGCCCTCCTTTGCTCCATGGCCAGTCAGCTTACACGGTGCACCAGGTAAAAGGATGTCTGCCATCAGCCTAAGGGCCATGAGACACTGCTTCTTATCCATGCTCCTATCTCTTAGCCATGCACCTCAACCAACTGGGTGGACAAGGGAAACAACACAGAGAATAGAGCAAGTGGGAGGGGCCCGTACTCATTCTTCCCACCCCACCCCAGTCCCCGGAGGGAGGGTCTCTTTGGTTTTCAGTGGCCACTTGTTGGCCACTGTGACTACCAGGTGTGGTGGGGTCCTCAGGGTTTGGTGCTGCTTCTTAATCTCTCAGGTAGATGTTGGGGTTCAAGGCAGTCAATAGTATTTACCCAGAATGAGTTACCTTTTGGTGTTGATATTGAAGGGACAGAGTGGATTGAAGCATGGAAACCGGAGCAAGAGACAAGCACTCAAATCTGCCTCCACTGACCTAGGGACGACAGACGTTGGTGAGTGACAGGTGCTCAGTCTCCAAGAGGATGTGCTCACCCCTCCAGTCCTACATTATTAGCCCAGGATGGCTAGGGGAAAAACCAGTTTAGGGTAGGGAGTGGAAATGGGATCTTTTTGTACTACGAGCAAGGAGAAGCTAGAGAAGTAAAGTGTCTTCATCCTCCTTACCAAGGTCCTGGGGAAGATTGGAAAGAACACCATGATGGGGGTTGCTGAGCCTATTATTAATCAAGAGTCTTGTGGCAATAGTCCTGACTTCAATGTAGGATGTCTACGTTTGGTAATTCTACACCCAGTTTAGGAGAAAATTGACGAGAGTATGGGGGAATATCCCTTCTTCTGCAGGCCTTCCATACTAGGCATACAAGATCCCTCAGGATTCCCCCTATTTAGAGCAGTTTGCTAAACAAGGAAAGGAGGGAAACCAACTTCCCTAGATGATAAAGAAGAGGAATCTCTTTGGGCCAGCCTCTAGGAAGAGATCTATGGAACATGTTTCAGATTAGGCTATTGACTTTGTGAAAGAATATTAGCAAAAGCCAGACTTCCTTTCCTAACAGCTCCCTGTGAGAGAAATGAGATATGGGTGTCCAAATCTTACCTGGAATTCCCAGTCTCTTTTTGCCTGCGTCTCTGGGCTAGAAGAGAAAGGTCCCTTTGTTTCTCCTAGTTGCCTTGATCAGAGTTGGGTCGTAGGGAACTTGGGTTGATTGGGTAAGGGGGAAAGGGCTAAGTGGGAAAGGCTGGGCTTTTGAGAACATTGTATGCAGACTTGGTCAACTGGATACTTCTCTGCTGGGCCCCTGGTCAGTCCTTCCTACTCTAACCCTTGCACAACCATGTCCTCTTTCCTCCCTTTCCAGTTCTGGGGCGGGTGCTGGAGGTGACAGATCTCCCTGAGGGCATCACTCGTACTGAGGCGGACAAACTCTTCACTCAGCTTGCCATGTCCGGCGCCAAGATCCAGTGGCTCAAGGATGCTCAGGGGCTGCCTGGCGGGGGTGGGGGAGACAACAGTGGGACTGCCGAGAATGGCCGCCATGCAGACCTCGCTGCCTTGTACACCATCGTGGCTGTGTTCCCCAGCCCCCTGGCTGCCCAAAATGCCTCCCTTCGCCTCAACAACTCCGTGAGTCGCTTCAAACTTCGAGTGGCCAAAAAGAACTATGACCTGAGGATCCTGGAGCGAGCCAGCTCCCAATGAACACAGGAGGGGAAGGGACTCACAGTGGTGGAGGCAAGGTGGAGGGAGTTGAGGCATCCTGAACGACCATGGACAGAGGGAGAAAGGAAGGTGACAGACACTATACTGGAGCCCAAGACAGTAGGGATGGAGATAGACAGACACTCACACTGGCACTGGACTTCTTCTTACTCCCCTGCCATGGGTCCCCTCGTCTTCCCTGGTTGGCCTCCATCTGCTTCCCCCTCCTTCCCATCCTCTTCTGTCGTTTTTTATCTCTTCTCCCACCATGAAATGAATTTCATATTTTTTGGTCAGGTAGAATTGGGAGGGTCTTAACACTCCCCTATTCTCCTATTACCATAATATCCCAAGCTCCCTTTTCTTTTTTGGTCTCTATCAATATATTTATATGGACAGAATTAAGAAAAATGAAATTGACTTCCCTCTCTTCTCACTTGCCCCATCTTGTTGCCCCAACCCCCACAGAGTTGAAACTTGGGCCTCCCCTACTCACCCCCAGAACACTTGTATATTGTTTGTTTGAGGTTCGTGCCGCAGTAACAGACATAGTATTTAATTGCACATACAGATGTTTGCTGGGTATATTCACTGTAAATTTTATTTAATCTGACTTTTTGTTTGTTTGGGGGTTACTTGGGGGGGGGGTTGATTTTGTTTTTAAATATAAAAAGAAAATCTGTCACTGGATGTCAGTCCCTGTTTTTCTTTTGCTGCCCTGGTGTGGGTAGGGGCTGGAGGTCCTGGGTAAGGTACAGCCCTACAGTGTTGGAGGCATTTGATGTGAATTTGGATGGCCTTTCTAACATATGAACACATACCTTCCTAACACTATTCCCTGTGTCCTGTCCCCCTTCTCACACGCAATTCTGACAGGTGGCTAGGTTTCTAATGAGACCTTGGTTCTGGACTCTCCTAACTCTGCTACTTAACTGTGGTTCATCAGGCATATCACTTCTTACCTCTGGAGCTCTGAGTCCTTATCAGTAAAATAGACTTGAATTGACGAGGTGACATCTGAGGTTTTTTTCCATTCTGTAAATTCTGTGACACTCATTTAGGATCGTTGAGACTGAGCTGTAGAGGGGTAAGTGAGGTCCAGAACTGGGTTGAATGCTGGCCTCTTACCTGTCCGTCCAACCTGCTGCAAACTCTTCAGGGATGGAAAACTTGAGCCTTTCTTTAATCCTAAAGCCAGAACATTGGGTTCTACCTGGCAGGAACAGAAGGGCATGTTTCTTATAAGAAAAGCATCTTGCAGTACCAAGATGCCACATTATCAAAGCATGTTCAGCAATCCCTGTCCTGGGCAGCTAAAGAAAGGTGAAGAGCAGAAGTCACTTGCCTGCATGATGGAGCTTTTCCACTGTGAGGCTTCTCAATGCTGGCCTGTTGTTCAGCCGGTCAGACCACAGTCATTAAAGAGCCTGCAGACCCAGAACCACCCAGCAGCCCTTTTTCAATCTCACCCACCCCTTAAAGAGAAAAAAAGAGCAGAAATGACAAAAAACATTGTCCTGGAAATCTCTTGGGTCCAGTTAGCAGTATCTCTAGCTAGGCTGCTCTGAAGCTTGACTGGCCCCCTCCAAAATAACCCTTTGCCTCTTCACAGATAAAAGGGATAAAGCATCACTACCTTGCCACTTGCAAATTGCTCTCTCCTCTGAGATGGGAGTATCCCCTCTCTCAGCTGTGTCATGCACAGAGCAGGAGAAGGGTGAGCGCCTGTGAGATGAGAATGCCAGACAACTCACCGACTCATCAGTTCATACACTGGGGCATCAGCGGAGGGAGATGGAATCGGAATCAAAATGACTCGGGGAGTGTGAAGCCCAGCCAGCCTACCACCTCCAACAGTTTGCAGTTCTCGGGGGCGGGGGAATGGGGATATTACTTACAGGTGATTTTTTTTTTTTTTAACTCCCTGTGTGGCAGCTCTTACTGCCTTTATCCAATGTTGAGACCATCCCTACCAGATCATTAGACCCTCACTCCCCCAGAACTTTCCAGCCTGGGTTTTTTTTAAATAGCTCTTAGAGGTCACTTTACCCTGAGAACAAGATTTTAGAGGAATAGGAGGAAGGTTGCCTCTGGGGACAGTTGGAGAGAACAAAGCAGCAGTACATTGTTTTTCACTCCCTGACAGGATGGCCAGAAGGTCCCCCTCTAACTTCCCATAGAGAAGAAAGCGGTCTATCTAGTCTAGCTAATAGGAGAGCTCTGCAAATTCAAATGTTCTTTCTTCACCAGTTCCCAGCCCTTTCCTTCCTAAAGGTTTGAGGCCAAATTGATGCTTGCTGATATAAAAACACATGGCCACAAGATGAGATGACAATGCCTGGGAAGTTGAAGGCTTAGTTCCTAAAGTAGGTCTAGGGAGGGTAGAATTGGGGAGGTGTTTGGACTTTGCTGAAAGGGGATTGGAAAAGCAGTTCCTCATTTATCTTCAGTCATCTAAAATCACCCAAATGAGTATACAGCATGAACACTGACCCCTCCTGAATTTAGCCAGTACTGGCTGACCTGCACACCGTAGATGAAAAAGTAGGGAACAGCAGCTCTGGGGGATGGGAGGAGTTAGGGTCCAGCCCTACCCATACCTCCCCGTGTCCAATTTCTCTGTGTCAGCTGTGTCGTTCAGCTGTCCACTTTCCTCTAGCCCTGTCATTTCAGCTCTGACACCAAGGCAAGAGGTTAGGTGTACAAATACCGTCTGGGTAGCCAGTGTGAGTACAGAGGGTACTGGGGGGGCTTAGCCCCCAAGGAAGAGGACCGTTCCTCTAGCACCGCCATCAAGACCACAGGGGCTCCCTCCTCCCTCCAGGCTGGATTGACAGGGAATCCCACGCGTGAGTTGCCTCTTCATCTTCTTTCCATTCCCTGGACTGTTCACCCTAGCTTTTCCTAATCCATAGTCTATTCAGCTTCTTCATTTCTCTCCTTGTCTATGAGTAGTTTGGGTTTGAGGAGTGAGATTACTATTCTACTCCAGGACAAAGAGCTAGGATTGGAGGGTGGGGTGGGGGTGGGATCAAGAGAAGGGAATAGTAAGGGAAAGAAAGGCTCATGTTACTGTGAAAACTTAAAATAGCTGAGGCCTGAGGCAGGCTGGGAACTAGGCACTGGGCCCCCAGGGCTCAAGAAAGAACTAGAGGGAACAAATGTTCCAGCCTATCCTTCTACACAGAAACCCTCTTGAATAAAGGAGATCTGGGAAGGTGTATCTTGTCTCTACTGCCCGTAGATTCTAAGGAAACAAAGTACCTGTAGGAAGATCCCTAGACCAGGCAGCTTTGAGCACTGTATTGGAGCTATAAACTTGGGGGTTGCCCCTCAGCGTGGAGAATGGGTATTGGTTTGAGGAACTAGTTGGGAAGTTCTTAAGTCTGTTGGGCTTTTCTCTGGACCTCCACGGAATCTTCCTGTTCATAAGCTCTGTGAAAGTATCCCAATTCCTCCCAAGGACCACCCTACTGTAAGAGACAGGAATAAGGGAGGGAAGAATGGCAGTCAGGGGTTAAATGTCATAGTGGGGTCCACCCTCTTGCAGAATGACAGAAAAGGAGATGCTGGAGTCCACTAAGCCCTCCATCCCAGCTGAGACTCGGCAAAGTGGGGTGAGTCTGGGCCTCTGACCACCGGGTATGGGGAGCTGAGAAGCCATTGTGGCCCTTGAAGAAAAGTGCTTGAATTGACCTCGCTGTGTCTCCTTTATTGTTAGAATGCCTGCCAGCCTCTGCAGCTCCCAGTGCCCCCTAATCCCAGGCTTGTGCCCCTTGCCCCAGGCTAGAAAAATGTCTAGTTAGCTTCAGCTTTACCTACTCTAGAGAGCATGACATTTCTTTTAACACTGGGTTTCCTTCATTCCCTCCCTACCTCCCCACTCAGCTACAGCGGCTGAAGCAGTTATTCAGGAAGCCATCTACTGAGACAAAGCAGATGGAACTTCCCCCAGAGCCCCAGGCCAATGGGGAGGCGGTGGGAGCTGGGGGTGGGCCCATCTACTACATCTATGAGGAAGAAGAAGAAGAGGAGGAGGAAGAAGAGGAGCCACCCCCAGAACCTCCTAAGCTTGTCAATGATAAGCCCCACAAATTCAAAGATCATTTCTTCAAGAAGCCCAAGTTCTGTGATGTCTGTGCCCGGATGATTGTGCGTGAGTCATGAAGGGAAGTAGAGGGCATGTGATGTTGAAGGTAGGGGACCGGGAAAGGGTTTAGGTGAGGAGTATTTTTATAGCAGGCTGTGGCAAGATTTGGCTTTAAGGAAATGCTATTAGAGACTGAGAGTGTTGGGTCCCAAACAGAAAAAGGACCTAAGAGCTAGAGTAGCAGCAGCAGTGCAAAGGGAAAGAGAAACAGGAACCTCACCTAAATGTTCTCCCCCTCTCCCAAGTCAACAACAAATTTGGGCTTCGCTGTAAGAACTGCAAAACTAACATCCATGAACACTGTCAGTCCTACGTGGAGATGCAGAGATGCTTCGGCAAGATTGTGAGTAGGCTTCGGGAAGCGAGCAAGTAGAAGAAAGGGGACATGTTGCCAGCTACCTCCTTGCCAGTCCCTCCATAGATCATCCCCTACATTGCCCTGCTTTCTCTTTCTCAGCCCATCTGTTATTTCAAAAAGGGGTGAGAAGTCATGGGAGAGATGGGGTTCTGGGCCCTACCTTGCCCTCTCTAATGCTTTTTCCCATCCCATCCTGCCCTACAGCCCCCTGGTTTCCATCGGGCCTATAGCTCCCCACTCTACAGCAACCAGCAGTACGCTTGTGTCAAAGATCTCTGTAAGTGACCCACGTGCAACCTGAGGGAACGGGCAAACTTAGAGATGATTTCAGTATCACCTCTAGATTTAGAAACCAAATTCTGAAACAGAAAGATTCTATATATCCTGGTTGTCTCTTAACCTAATAATTTAGCCATCTTGGATGTGAGTCAATATTCCCCTATTTGATAGTTGAGGCAGATAAGATTTAGCGAGGTCTCCACACAGCTAGCCAGAGACAGCCAAGACTGAAACTTTCATCTTCCTAACTTCAAAATCTGTGCTCTTCATAAGCAAAACCATTTCTCAGTGAACAAGGATTCTAGACTGTCCTCATCCCAGAAGAATGCCAGACTCAAGGCCAGACCAAGAGCTGTGGACATCCTGGGCAGATTCATAATTTGGCAACCCTTAAAATGTATTATTTTACAATTTGTTTTGAGGAGTGGCACTGGGCCCCCAGGGCTCAAGAAAGAAGTAGGAAGAACAAATGTCCCAGCCTATCCTTCCACACAGAAACCTTCTTGAAAAAAGGAGATCTGGGAAGGTGTATCATGTCTCTCCTGCCTATAGATTCTGAGGAAACTGTGAGGAGCATGGGTGTACCACTGGTGGTAGCACCCCGGCTTGCCCATGCCACTGAGTAGAACAAAAAAGCCAGCAGTTAAAGGGCCACTCCCCTTAGAAGAAGTGATGGTGAGCATTCCCCAACTCTCAAGCAACTTAGCAAAGTTGTCTTTCCAAAATCATATAATGCTCTGCATTGAAGGAGCACTGGTGAATATTTTTCTCCGTCACATTACATTTCCAATGATATTTTCAGAGCTCTTGATAGATTGATGACCTATAGGTATGCCCCGCTGACAACTTCCCTAAACACACACACACACACACACACACACACACACACACACACACACACACACCCCCCCCCATCTCAATCACACCTCTCCCTTACTTAGGTCTCTCTTTCCTCCAAGCCATTCCCTGCCTCCCCAGTAATGTCTCCTTTCTTCTCCCATTCCGACTAGCTGCTGCAAATCGTAATGACCCTGTGTTTGAAACCCTGCGCACTGGGGTGATCATGGCAAACAAGGAACGGAAGAAAGGACAGGCAGATAAGAAAAACGTGAGCACCATACATTTCTACTGAGGTCCCTTCCAGAGACCCAATGGAGCAGATCCTGTCTCCTCTCTGGAAAACTGAAAGAAGCTAGGGATCCTTTTCCCCTCAAATTGCACATAACCCAATAGACAAATTTTTGCATGCAATTTTAGAGTCTCAGGTTAAGAACTCCTGTCATATAGCACGTGTTTTCTATGGGAACTCGCTTCTGTAATTATCAGATTAACCACCAAAATCAGCTGAAGGCTAGGCCCCAGGCCCCTGGCATTGTTGGACAAGAGAGGCAAGAGCTCTGCTTTTGGATTTGGGGAACAAAACTTGCCAAGTAATTCCAGAGTCATGCAAGGGTCTATGACTATCATCTGGTCTGAGCCATTTATCCCATAGATGAGGTAACTGAGGCACAAAGCTAGTGGCGAAAAGCAGCTTCACCTCCTTTTGTAATAGGGCTTCTAGATTCATAGTGCCATAGACTTGCATTCAGTTCAGCAAGGAATTGGTTAGCATATCCTTTTATCTTTCTGGACAACCAGGATGGACTAATGGAAATAATGGTTACAGTTAGACAGATGCCTAAAATTGCTTGAACAGCAGTACCCAAGGGACCCTGGTCCTTTAGGGAGTGTCCAGTGCGAGGGAGATTTCTAATGCCTCATAACATGATTTGGTCCTCGGTCCTCACCTATGGATATTTTTCTCACTGATGCAAATGAAGCTGTAAATGGTATACCCATCAAGTTTGTGGGAAACCCAGAAGGGGAAACTTATACACTGAATAATGTATTCAAAAACCTTATAGACTAGAAGAATGGCCCAGAAATAATAATTTGAAATTTTGTAAGGAAAAATGTACATGTCTGTCGTTGGATTTTAAAACAAAAACAAATCAACTGCATGGAAACAGAACTAGAGATCTGGTTTCAAAGTAGTTGATACGGAGGCTGGGTGCAAATTAGAGACTTCTGTGGAGTGAGCTATGACTGTAAGGTACTAACACAATGTGATGTGGCTGCTTTCAGAAAGGCTAGCACATTCGGGTTCTATTTTCTTAAGGGAATTATAAAAACTGTGATGCCCATTTTTCTCTTACACACTGAAGTATTTTTAAGGGCAGACATAGTAAAAGATGTAGAATTGGGATCTTAGGGGATGATTTGAAGGGACTGAGAATGATTAGAGAAGAAAAGACAGGAAGGACATGTCAGCTGTCTTCCCATCTTTAAAAGGGATATATTTGTTCTCTATGCCTCCAGAAGGCAAATCGGGACCAACAACTAAAAGTTACAGGGAAACTGACATAGGTTTAGTAGAGGGAATTGTCCTATAAATAAAATATATGGTTTATTTTGTGAGATAGTGAGCTCCCTGTCATCAGCTACATTCAAGCACAATGTGGGTGGCCTACCTGCCAGGATGTTTTAGAGAAAGTCTCTGCATTAGGCAGGTGGTTGAATAGATATTTTCTTCAAGGCTTCTTCCAACCCTAAGATCCTATTATTCTATAGTTCTCTGGCCTGACTGGAGAGCCAGGGCAAGCATGGGTTCCCAAGACAGCATCTTCCTAACTCTGGTGCCCCCTCCAGCCTCTAGCAGCCATGATGGAAGAGGAGCCAGAATCTGCCAGGCCAGAGGAAGGCAAACCCCAGGATGGTGAGTGACACCCATCTTCATCAGTAGAGATGGAGGAGGGTCAGGGGCTCCGCTGTGGCACAACGAAAGGCGGGTAAAGGGCATGCAAGATTTGGAGATAAGGAGGCCATGCCACAGAAGGGTAAGAGAATGAGAGCAACCCTCCAGGAGCCAGAGACAATTTGTTGGTGTTTCCCATCCCAGGAAACCCTGAAGGGGATAAGAAGGCTGAAAAGAAGACACCTGATGACAAAGTGAGACTCCTTTCTCCCTGCAGGGACCCCAAACCTCTCCCCAACCCAGTTCTTGACACTACTCAGGGCCTCAGCCCAAAGCTCATACTTACGCCATGGGTTCCCATTATTATCTTTGAACTGCCTTCTCCACCACCTTACACACACACAACCAATTCACTCCTCTTAGTTCGGGGACCTGGGAGAGAGCTGGAATGTAGTGTGTCTGGAGAATGCCCCTGCCTTGGACTCCTGCCCCTCAATGTGAGACAGAGTAACCCTGAAACTCATCACCCCCTTCCACCCCCAGCACAAGCAGCCTGGCTTCCAGCAATCTCATTACTTTGTGGCTCTCTACCGGTTCAAAGCCCTGGAGAAGGACGACCTGGATTTCCCGTGAGAGGCCTTAAGATTGGGGTGGGGGTGTACTAGGTGTGGAGAGAGGGAGCCCAGCTCCCTGTGGAAAAGCAAAGGGGGAAGAGGGTACTCAGGGCTTGGAGCCTATTGGGGCTGGACTTGGGTACAGCCAAGAGACTGGATATATAAGGCCCCTAAATCTCAGAAGCACCTCCCTTCCTCTGCCAGGCCTGGAGAGAAGATCACAGTCATTGATGACTCCAATGAGGAGTGGTGGCGGGTAAGAGAAATGACTGAGGCTAGGGTGGGACAAGAGTTGAGTTTAGAACCTGAGATTGAAAAGCTGATTCTCCCTACCTTCTCCTCCAGGGTAAAATAGGGGAGAAGGTCGGATTTTTCCCTCCAAATTTTATCATTCGGGTCCGGTCTGGAGAACGTGTGCACCGGGTAACGAGATCCTTCGTGGGGAATCGCGAGATAGGACAGATCACTCTCAAGAAGGACCAGGTTATTAAAAAAAAAAAAAAAAAAAAAAAAAAAAGGCGAGGTATCTCTGGTGCGCCAATCCAACCCCAGGCTGGGAGGCTCCTCTGCAAACCACACTCCCCTCAGATCTTAACCCATTAATGGGACTATGATGGGCCTCCGTTACTCTGGGCTCCCCTGCTCTCCTCTCAAGTGTTTTCCCTTGATTTCTCTCCTCCCTAATCTTTTAATCCTTTAGATCGTGGTGCAGAAAGGAGATGAAGTTGGTGGCTACGTCAAGGTCTACACCGGCCGCAAGGTGGGGCTGTTCCCCACTGACTTTCTGGAGGAGATTTAGGTGTGCAGGCGCCTGCTGGCGGGAGATACCCATGCCCCGTTCTGGGCAGGCCCAGGAGAGGTTGAAGAGGAAAGGGGCGAAAACAACTATATTTCTGAGTAAGGGAGGAGTGGGAAGGCCCGCCAGAGCATGAGGGGGCTCTTGGGAAGGGACTGGTTCCCGCCCTCCTCCCCTGGCTTATGGCTTCGGATACCGGTGCCTAGAAGCAGCCTTTCCCGCAACTCCTCAGGTCCAGCCTTTGAAAGCTGGAGAAAGAAGAAAGCGTCTCCACTAGGAGGCGCCCTGGAGTGTGGTGGGTGGGAGGCGAACTGTTCAATGTTGAGAATTTATTAAAGTTTTGACAAAAATAAGAAAAGTTTGTTCTTAAACTGGGGGCCAAGGAGAGGAGGAGAGGGCTTACAAAGTGGAAGAAAAATCCTCAACTGTCTCATTTTACTACCATCGGGTAACCTGAAACCCAGCTGGGCTGAGGCTGGTGGGAGATGGGAAGACAAGTGCATCCACAGGCGTGGCCTCCGTAGTCAGCAAAGAAAAGGGAATTGGACGGGGGTCACCGCCCTCGCGCCGCTGTGGCAGGGAACAGTATCCGGTAGCAGGGCAGGTCCCCCTTAGCTCTTCGCGATTTAGCCGCGGACAGCCCCTTGCAAATCAGAACCTGGCTCAGTGCCGAGCTGGGCCGCCAGGGGGCGATGCAAGATCTCGGTTGGAGAGCGAGGGACCGAGCGGTGGTGGGGGGAGAGGAGAGAACCGGAGACAAGGAGCCGGAGACCCTGGGCCTGGGAGGGGGTGGGGTGCGTGCCGTCTCCATGGCAACACTTCCTCAAGTCCTCCGGGAACTAAGCAAGCAAGGCCCGGGGGCTTAACCCCTCCCGCACGGCCCCCGCCCCAGCCCTGACAGGTACCAAGTGAGAGGACGTCGGGCAGACTGCTAACCCGCTCACGCGGAGACCCCCCTTGCGGCGCGCCGTATGCAAATATTTTTATTTGCATATGTAGACATGCAAATATACCGGCCCTGGTCAGGGTGGCAGGTGGCAGGGAGCGGGAAGGTGTAGGGAAGAGAGCTGAAGGAGACGAGGAGTTTGGGGGCCTAGGAGCGGACCAGTGAGAGGCAGCCTGGGGTGGCCGGTGGAGTAGAGTAGGCAGAGGGTCTTGAGCTTGATGGCGGCTGGGGGAGGGTCAGCCTGGCCAGCCAGGAGATTCTCTTCTGCGCGTTGTCTGCCAGGCCTGAGGTTGGCACCACCTAGCAAGGTTGGCAGCGGGAGCCCAGGCGCCATCTGCTGCTGGCGGGGGAGGGGAGTGAGGACAGAGGCTCAGCTGGGCTGGGGAAGAGGAGGGCCCGGGACGGGCGCGCCCCCCTTCCTTCCAGAAGGCTGAGGTGTGGTGGGGGTAGGGAGGCACACAAGAGGACTCGCTGCAGTATCGCGTTCTGTTTCCTGTCCCCTTTGCTCATGACTGTCCTGGACTCCGGGGGGGACGGCGAGGTCATAAAGGAAGACTCAGACAGTACCCTTTTAATCATGCTTGGGCTGGAATAGGAGAAGACCACCGCTCCCCCCACCCTGGACCACCGCTCACAAATCAAGCCTTTTGCCCCATCTCTCCTCAGGATCTGCCTACCACGAGTTGGGGGGCGTGGGGGACAGCTAGGGCTTGGGTCGCATCTCTTCATCAAGCGTTTTGAGGGACTCAAAACCAGAGCCCTCTGAGATCCTCGAGTGGGGCCCCCACAAAGCTGAAGCAAAACCAATTTACTGGCTCATTGGGCGGCGATGCTGGTGTGGGGGTACTGAGAAGCTGAGAGAGCGGCTGTTCTACCCACCCCATACACGGGGGGCACCCCCCTTCCCCGCCTCGCAGAGCCGGCAGCTGTCCCTAATTAGAACGGCGGTTTAATTGGATTTATCAGCAGTTAATAGGAAATTAAGCAAAAGGCCCGAGAGAGGGAGGGCAGGAGGAGCGGGAAGGCTGGCTGTGCTGAGCTCAAAGGACGGGTGCTGGGGTGCCAGGGGTAGGGATGCAAGGCCCAGTATCACAATTGAGCCCCATGGTCATGCCCTCCCCACCCCATCCCACCCCCAGTGGTTGCCCATTGGTTGAGCCCTGGTCTGCTGGCGAAGAGCTGGTCTCAGGAGAGGCAGTTGGGGGAGACAGCGACCCTGTGTGAGCCCCCAACACCCCTACTTCCGAAAGCGGCCGCCTGGGTGATGGATGATGCTGCCTCACGCTGCAAAGGTTATAAGTCTGGGCCAAGGAGTGGGCTGAATCGAAAACAGACGGGAGGAGGGGCCGGGTTACTAGGGTCCAAGGCACAATCCACACCCTACTCCTCCCCAGTGCCCACCCAACTCTTAGCGAAGAAAGTACCCCTTGATGTCAGAATATTGGGCAGCACAGGGGATAAGGGGAATACGGAGTGACCCTGTCGTCCACCCCTTGCCTCCTGGACATGTTGGGGATCCTAGGAATCGCCCTACACAGCCGCCACTGTGCCTCTATGGCTCCCAGTCTTCTCCCCATCTGCTGGGGTTGGGGTTGGCTCCATTGGCTGAGGCCAGAGTGTCCAAAGTCTGCAACATCCGCCCTCAGAGCCAAGAGAGGAAGCTTGCAGGCAGTCAAACAGGGTGCAGGGTCAACAGCCCCAGGCTCCTCCTGTCATCAGGGCATCATTATATGGCTAGGCTAACAAGACATGCTATCAGGGACCCCAGAGACTTCTCTACCACACTCCACGGCCGCAGGACACAGGCAGTAGTTCCAACATATGTGTGGATATATGTGTGTGGGTGGGTAGGTCTCTCTGTGCCCCTGGCAATTATGGGTGTCTATGCTTCTGGTGTGTAGCGTGTCTGTGCCCCAAGTGTGTGAGGTGTGTATATGTTGGTGTGTGTGCTCCTGTTGTGTATCTGTAGATCTTGTCACCACTCTGTATCCCTCCCAGAATCTATGATTTTTGTCTGTCTAAGCCCCTGGGTGTCTAAGTGTGCATATGTGCTTTGGCGTGTCTGTGCATTCTTCACACCTGGATGTGTCCCCTGTGTGGGCATTTCCGTAAGTCTCTGCGTGCAGGCCTGTGTGTGTGTGAGAGAGAGAATCAGGAAGAGCCTCTGGTGAGTGTGTTGCTCTGGCATCTCCACCTGCAGGTGTGTGTTTCGGTGACAGTGCGTGGGCGTGTGCCTGGGTGTGAACTGCACAGCGGCGTGTATTCGGATGACAGTGTGACGCACGCGCGCTAGTGTGTGTATGTGTGCGTGCGCGCGCGCCTGACTGCGTCTCCCGCCCCCGCCACTTCCTCTCCCTATTTCTATTCCTCTCTCCTCTCCGGGCGGGCTTGGCTTCGCCGTCCGCATCATCTCCATCCATTATTGAAGAAACAGCCGCGTCCGCTCCAATCACATCAACACCCCCCACCCCCCTCTGTTCCGCTCGCCCCGCATCCCCTCTGGGTGCTGCGAGGGGGTAAGCCGCTGCGCGGAGCGGGCACCAGGAAGGAGCGGGTTCATGACCCTGTGCCCCGAGCCGGGCCAGGCATCGGGACGCCAGGGTTCCCGGTGGAGAGCGCTTTGCATAAACAGATGGCGCGGGCGTCTTTGTCTCGCTCGCTCGTTCGCTTTCCGAGCGGCTGCCGGCTCCTCGGCTGCTTGGCTGATGCAATCATGATCATCTCAGAGCCTTGGGATCCGGCGCCCTTAATAGCGGCAGAGAGGGTCGGGGGCCCCAGGGCTCCGGAGCAGATAGATACTGGGCACTGTGTCTTCCCTCCTGGGTGTCCTCCACCCACGCCCCACAGCTGCAGAGGGAAAATGGAGGCCGTGCCGAGGTGACGGGCATGTGGAGGTGACTGGGAAGGGGACCCCAGGCAGTGCCCCGAGCTGTCCCCAGGCTGTCCCGTCTGACTGCTACAGCTCCCCAGGAGCAGCAATCCAGAGAATAGGGCTAGAATTGGTGAAAGGGAGGAGGAAGAGACAGATAAAGGCAGTGACGGCGAGGTAGAGTGAAGGAGAGTCAACATAGAAAGACACAGAGAAACAGATGCAGAAGGACAAAGCCAGGTAGAGGGCTGCAGAGGGAGAGACAGACACAGCCAGAATGATAAGGAACAGAGGAGACACAGACACACACACAGACGCGGAGACAGAGGCAGGCAGGGCCTGAAGAAGAAAAATGTAGCCAGAGACTAGGACAGGCAGGGGCAGAAAGAGGGCAGTCCCTGGGCGGAGGTGGAACCCTAGGCATCTGGGGCTGCCCAGCCTCACGAGAGGACTCAGTCTGAACCTGGGGTACCCGATGCTGGAGAAGCGGGAGCTTCCGCGTCTTCTCTCCGGCCCACTGCGGGACCCACTTGCCTGGCCGCGGGAGAGGCAGGAACGGCGGACCGGGCTTGGACCCACACTCTAGCTGCTGACTTACCTGCCGAAAAGCCGTAGGGGCGCAGGGCCGACGCGGCCCGACAGGGGGCGACCGAGGCATCTCCCCTGAGAATTTAGGAGCAGCTCCGCCTCCAGGGGGCGTCCGCGCCCACAGCCCCTGCAGTCTGCTCGCAGCGCCGAATCCAGATCCCTTTGACGTGCGGCGCCGCCTGCACGCCGAGTAGTGTCCTGCGTGATGTAGCTTTCAGAGTCCCGTCCCGGTGGGACCTCCGCCCACCTCTGGCCACGCCTAATCCACAGTTAATGACTTCTGCGTCCCTCACCGGCTGGCTCAGCTCGGCCTGAGTCCTGGTGGGAAAGTGAGGGGGACAGATGGGATCTGGAACCCAAAAAGTTGTGTCCCAGTTCAGCCCTAGAGATCTTGACCCAGAGATGGAAGGGAGCTTAGAGACGGGTCACAAAGAAGGTACCAGAGACTGGCACCAGAAGCAGGTGAAAGGTCAAGGAGCCCCCAGAGAGGCCAGATCAAAAGCAATCGTGGCGGAGGCCAAAGGCTGGAGGATCCAAGTCAGCTGCTCTAGGAAAGGAGTGGAGCGGGGGGTCCGGGATGTGGTAGGCCAAAACTCAGAAGAAAGGACACAGGACAGCGGGCGAGAGCCGAAGACGCAAACGGCACAGGGGCCCGACCTCCCTGTCGGGGTCCTGGTGCTCCAGCTGTGCCAGACAGAGCCAGATTGTGTGGCCCCTCGAGCCCGAGTTCCAGGATTGTTTTTGAGTCCTGGAGTCAGAAGCGCTGGGATGTACGGGTGAAAGGCCACCCCACTTCACGGCCCGGTGTAGTGTGGGTGCTCAGGGAGGGCCCGGTTCTGTGGTGCTCTGGGCTCTGACATCCCTTCAGTCTTCCTCCTCCGCCCCACACAGGCGTTGTAGCAAGTCTGTCTCTTTGTTTTCGCCGCGTCTCTGACACTTTATCTCATTATCCGCCGGAGGGAGGCGGAGAACCTGGGACCCCGCAGCCTAATTACAGCCGCTATTGTCAGCACAGGGGATGGGGCACATATCAGCGCCGGGTAAAGGAAGGAAACCCCCACTTAGGGCCCCATCCCTCCCTGTACCTCGCGTGTCCCAGCGGTGGGTGCAGGTGGGTGCACAGCTCGCTCCTGCCCTAGCCGCCACAGGGCTCTGGAGGGGAGAAGTGGGGAGCTCCGTAGGATCCAGCTGCCTAGGGAGGTGCAGGGAGAGATAGTGGGGAGGTTAGCATGGGAGTGGGAGAGGTGACTAGGGTGGACTTCTGAGTCCCTGGGAACCCAGTTCCCCAAAGAATTGTCAGTGAGCCTTCTCACCCTGACAGCATTGCATACACCTGATTTAGCTGCAGAAAGGGTGGCAATCAATTGTTTACCCCGCACCTCTGTTTCTGTGTGTATTGTTTACTTTCCTCCTTCAACATCTTGTCCATCTTTCCTTAACTGTTTTCCTCACTCCATTCTTCTCTCCATCACAGCCAGAGGCAGAGTGGCCTTCTTGGGTGGCTCCACCTTCATCCCAACCCAGGATAGGCGGGGCAAGCAAGTTTCTCAAGCCTCCCTTAGACAACTGACTCTGTACGGAGCCGGGTTTAAGATACCCCTGGGTCCCCTTGGCCTCCAAACACTATTCCAGATCAAACACAACACAGTTTGGGTAACCACCAGGACTAGAAGGCTGGGGCAACTTTAGTTCTGATGGACTTCCTGTCCCCCTCCTCCTTCCACTACCACTGTGGTGGGGACAGAACCAGGGCCTCCAGGACCTGCTAGCTCCTGGATGCTCTGGAACAACTATTTTTTACCTTTACATGTCCATCATGGCACACATAACTAATTACTAAAATTCTGCACCAAAAATATCTATTGTTTGCTGATTGGACCAAAAAAAAAATAAGTACAATTTTGATTCATTTACACCAGATGGCTATTACTGGGTTAGCTGTTTTCATTTTTTTAACTTGACAGTCTGAGGGAAAAGAGCTCAATGCCTCTAACCAGCCAGGTATCGCGTGTTTTAAAAATTCTTGCAGCAGAAGTAGTGGGAGGAAAAGCCCAAAAGAATAAAAGGAAAAAACAAACAACAAAAAATTTCTTGTTTGCCACCAGTGTGCCACGACACGCTGTTTGAAAATCGCTGCTTTGGGGTGTCAGGGAAGCATTGTAGATGCCCTTGCTCTTCCCTGGCCCCTGCTGGTGCTACCTGTGAACATTCACATCTGCACTTTTCTGGAGGTCTGTCTGCCAGCCTGTTTCATAGCGAGTCCCTCCCTCCACTTCTAGATCCCCTGTCAGTCAATCTGGGTCAAAGCCTGTGAGGCCTCTCCATCGGACCAGCCCAAAGCCGCACGTATGCTGCTGCCCCATGGGCCAGAATTCGGGCGTTTGGATGAAGGAGTGGAGGAGCAGAAATCCCTCAGGTCCCCAACAATTCCTCCAGCTCCAAGCCTGGAACTAAGGGAGGAAAAGAAATGGGTAGGGGTGGGGTGAGATGGTGCCGCGGGCTGGGCTGGGCTGGGCTGGGCTGGGCTGAGCTGGGCTGAGCTGGGCTGAGCTGACCCCTCCCCAGCCGGGGGCGGGACCCCAGGAGGAGCTAGGGAGCCGAGCTGCTGGAAAGGACCAGACACTGGAGAGGCGATATGGCGGGAACCAGTCTCGGGACCCGTTTCTACCGGCAGATCAAGAGACATCCCGCTGTGAGTTGGATCCCCAGACCCACTGATTCTAACTCTTAACTTTTTCGCTGATCAAGCAGCCCCCAAGTCTCTCAGTCCCCTCCTTTTGCCTAGTTTCCCCAGTGCTGCTCACCTTTTTCTAGGGTGCCCTCAACTACCCCTGCAAAGTGCACCCGTGTCCCTTGAATCCCCCCTTGGACAGGCTGGCTGTGGGGTGAGGGAGACTAAGGCAGGAGCTGTGGTGTATGAGGTTCCAGGTCCCCTCACCCAGAAGGGAGGGAGCACCAGTCCCCAGGAGGGAGCGAGGGCCACTGGGCAGAAACACTTGTAAAGGGCAACTGGGAACTGTGGGGAGGGGGCTGACTCTGAAAGTCTCCTCCATCTTCCCTGCAGCTCATCCCGATGATTGGCTTCATTGGCCTGGGCATGGGCAGCGCTGCTCTCTACTTGCTGCGCCTGGCCCTACGCAGCCCGGACGTATGGTAAACGCTGGGCTTGGGATGGTGGCATATGTCCCGGATGGGGCAAGAAGAGGCAGGAACGAGTAGGCCTCCCAGGAAGGGTGGCAATGGGTGCTAGGTGGGGGCCCCCCTGCGAAGCACCTGCCCTTGCCCCGCCCGCATCACCAGGCTGGAACATCCTCCCGACCTGGGAGAGCCCACCTCGCCTTCGGCCCACCCAGCCTCACTCTCCTCTGTGGCTGCAGGCTAGGTCCACTTCGGGCTGCCGACCAAGCCTGGCTCCCCCACCCGGTTGCCAAGGCGACGCCACTCTGCCGGAGGCCAGCGGCCTTTGGGTACCTCAATATCCACACTGGAATGCTGGGGGTGTAGCCAGCTGAGCATCTGGAGGCACCTTTGGGGCCAGCGTGACCATGAGGCTCCACCGCCAGGCCAGAGGCAGCGGAGTGAGGGGGAGGGTCCTTCTGTCAGGGGCACGCCCTGCGTTGTCAGAATTTGAGGTCCATCACAGAAATCCCAGCCCCTGGGGATCTTTGCCTGATTCCCACTCCTCTGCTCTGCCTCACTGATCTAGGGTGGCCAAGTGCAGGCTGGAGCCCCTGGGCTGGATAGTCAATTCTTCATCTGTCCTCACTCTGCAAACAGTGACAGCCTTCTTGTTTTGTCAGCAGCTGCTAATATGCCCCCTCCCTGTCAGTCTCTGGGAAAAGGACCCTCCCCAGAGTACGAGAGTTGGGAGCTGGAGCGGGGGCGGGGGCCGGGGTGGACGACAGGCTGGGGTAGAGGCAGAGACCCTGGGTGTTACCTTAGGCTTTAGAGCCCTAGCTCCCAGAGAGGAAAACCTAACCCTCCCCCTCCCTCTTCACAGCTGGGACAGAAAGAACAACCCAGAGCCCTGGAACCGCCTGAGCCCCAATGACCAATACAAGGTAACTCTGACCAATACAAAGTACCTATCAGTGGCTCTAGGGTTGCACCTCCATCCTCTCAACTCTTGATCCCCGGGGTGGCCCCTCAGCACCCGAAGAGAGGCCTGGGGCACCTAGTGCAACCCCCTCCCTCTTCCATAGTTCCTTGCAGTTTCCACGGACTATAAGAAGCTGAAGAAGGACCGGCCAGACTTCTGAGCCTGGCTGGGGCACCTCGATGTACATGCAGGCACTTCAGCCAGCCTCATTTCTTCCACCTTCTGCCCTTTCCCTGCCCCCCTGCCCCACCTCTCCCCACCCCCCGCCCCCAGGGGGCCACTCTCGCCACCCTATCCAGCTCCAGAGTACCAAAGCCTGGTTCCCACGAGGAGGGGAGGCAGCTCCGCCCCCACCCTCTTCCCTTGCTCCCTGCAGCGGAAGCACCTCTGACCCTCAGCTTGAGTCCCACGTAGGCGGGAGGGGGAATTAAAGAGATGGGGCAGCAGCTGGATGGACCCAAAAGGATCAAGCTGGCCCCTCTGCTGGGCAACAGGGAACTTGCAGGGTGTGGCACAGGCTACGTGTTGCACGTGGCAGTGGTGAGCTGAGAACAAGCAGGGGCCTCTAGGAGTGCCAAGCTACGTGGCCGGCCCCACGTTAGCCCAGATTCTGGGCTCCATCCCAGGGAGGCGCTGCTCTAGCTTGATTGGGCTCATTGCCTGTGGCCCAGCCTGCTCTGGATGAGGCACCTCTATGCCCAGGGAGGAGCAGTGCGCCCCTTCCCTGTGCCTCCAGAGCCAACCAGCACCCCCTCCAGCCTCACACCTGGGCCTCCCCCTGCCATCCCACCCCTCCTTGCTTCTCTCTGTCCCCTGGGATCAAACAGAAGCAGCCGTGGGCAAAATACAATTTCATTTAACAAATTGAATTTGCTGCGCCTGCTAATCACGTCTGGTGTCGGCTCTGATCAGAGACAGAGGAGGCTGCAGCCTCCGGGGCCCTCGTGGTAGTGGTGGGAGGGAAGGGAGGGACACATGGAGGGAGACAAATCACCACTTGGCCCAGGGGACCCCTCCCACAGTAATAGAAGCTTGGGTCAGGTTAGCATTTTATTAGATTAAAAACAGAAAGGAGGGTGCCTCCCCAACCCTTCCTCTGGCTCACAAGGGTAACTCCCCCACCTCCAAGAAAGAGCAGGGAGTCTATAACACTGAGATAATAGGAAACGTTAGGGCAGGAAGCCCCCAACCTCCTTCTTCTAAGTCTTCTTACAAAAAGAAATTTCAGCTACAAATTCTGGGAAGGGAACTATACCTGGCCCTTCCCCTAAGTAAGAGGTTGTCCTTCCTCCAGCAAAAAACTGGAAGATAGGCGACCCCTCCACTGGTCCAGGTTGAGGGAAGGAAAGTAATTTCAGTCTATGAGCCTCATTTCCTTGGTGCCTTCAGTGTTCATCAAAACCAGGCATGGGGAAGGCCCTGGCAAACTGTTCCACCCGTTGCCTGAGGTCAGCCAGCCGATGTCTTGTTTCTGGATCATTGAGCAGGAAGGATTTGAAATCCTGCAGCTTGGCTAGAGAGGGGCGAGGAAGAGTGGTCAGAGCTCAAGGGAAGGCAGTGAGGTCACTGGGGGCAGGGCAGGTAGGGAGTAAGCTGCGCTGGCTCAGCGGGCGCCTGGCCTACTCACCGGTCTTGCTCTTCACCTCCAAACCGATGTTGACTGCTTCATCTATAAATTCCACAACTCTCCGGAAGTCATCCTCACGAAACTGTCGAGAGGTCAAGGCCGGGGCCCCTGAGAGAGAAGCAGAAGAGGATGAGAATGGCTCAAGCCCAACTGACAGCCACCCTCCCCTCCTGGAACCTAGGGTCTTACCAAGCCGAAGACCCCCCGGGGTGACGGCACTTCGATCTCCAGGACAGGTGTTCTTGTTGGCTGTGATGGATACAAGCTCCAGCACCCGCTCGGCTCGAGCCCCATCCAGGCCCTTGGGCCGTAGGTCCACCAGCACTAGGTGGTTGTCAGTGCCACCTAAGGGGGTTGGGGGAGACAGGAAGCAGATGGTGATTCCTAGGCCTCTGCCTGAGGCTACAGAGACTCTCACCCAATCCCTTAGCTCACCAGACACCAGCGAGTAGCCTCGATCGAGCAGGGCATCGGCCATGGCACGTGCATTCTTCAGAACCTGCAGGGAGTACTCCCGGAACATGGGGGTGTTGGCCTGGAGAGGAGACAGCAGCGCCTGGGACCCCGAGTCCTGCCCCTTCCACTCTCCCACCTCCAGCATAGTAGTGACCCCAGCCTCGGCCCCTCCCCTTCCAGCAGTTCCACCTTCAGGTAGCGAGAGACGGGATCTGCGCAACCGGACGCCCCCTCCCCAACAGTGGCTCCCCAACCTGCTTTAGGGCCACGGCCACTGCAGCAATGGCATGGTTGTGGGGCCCCCCCTGCAGGGACGGGAACACGGCAAAGTTGATTCGGTCTTCAAACATATAAGGGATCTCCCGGCCAGTCTTGGGGTCCACAGACCGCACCCCCTTCCGGTAAAAGATGAGTCCTGACCTGTATGGGAGAGGGTGGTCAGAGTCTAAGCTGAAGAGAAAGGACAGGGAATGGGAAGAGCAGAGGAAGCGGCTGGTCTGAGCCCCTGAGGCCTCTCAAGAGCGCACCTCATTGTGCTGGGTGCGCTTGACTCCAGTGGTCTAGGGGAACAGACCTTCCCTCCCACCCCCCGACCCCTTGTTAGGGAATTGCCACCATGGACAAGAAAAGGAGAATTCTCAGAATGGGCAGAACTCTTCAGGTAGAATGAGTTCCTCTCACATCCAGTCCCACAATGCCATGGAAATAAGGCATGAAGGCAGGGAAAGGCAAGGCCCGATCTCAGGGGAGCCTGACCTGGCCCCTCGAAGGGTCTTGTGAGTGGTAGTGGTGACAACATCCGCATGCTTGAAAGGTGAGGGGATCACCTTGCTTGCCACCAGGCCACTGATGTGGGCCATGTCTGCCAGCAGGTATGCCTTGACCTCATCACACACCTGGGCAGGTACAGAAACAGGCCTCAGCCTGGGTAGGGCCCAGACAGGCCAGCCCAAAGCCGCCCCTCCTCCAAAACCTCCCCGCCACCGCTTGGGGAGTGGCAGGTCCTCCAGCCCCCCGCGAACCTCTCTCATGCGGGCATAGTCAATGAGCCGTGCGTAGGCGCTGGTGCCCGCTATGATGAGCCTCGGTCGGAAAAGTCGAGCAGTGACTGCCAGCTGGTCATAATCAATCAGGCCGGTTTGGGGCTGGAACGAGATAAAAAACTGAAGCCCTGAGAAGGGAGCAGGGCAACCCGCCCTCCGCCTCGACCCTGAGGGCTGTCCAGAGCTCCAGGCCCTCACTTTTCTCAGGAGAGGATTCCCAGGCCCTGAGCAGCTCCCTCCCCACACACTAGAGCGCTCACTTACATTCAGTTTGTAGGGCATAGACTCAAAGAAGATGGATGTGGCCGAGATCCGCTTGACATCAGACATATAGCCATGGGTAAGACTGGGAGGGGAGGAGAGGAAGTAAGAAGGCTTCTAAGTAGAGTAACACCCAGACTTAACCACTCCTTTCCTGGCCTGCTTCAGAGGCCTCCTTCTCTGGAAATCTGCTCCTAGCACGCACCGCCCTCATTGCCCTGTCCACTCTGTGCTGAGCACTGCTACTGGGGCCTTATCTTCTCCCTGCACTATAACTTGAAGGACAGGGAGAGGCTTGCTCCATTCACATCGCACATATTAGGTGTTCAATAAATAACTCCTCTCTTATGCCCGTACTGCCCACTAAGCCCATCAATCACCCCATCCATACTCACTGGCCCCCATCGGGCAGGTCCAGCCCCATGATTCGGTCGTGAGGCTGTAGAAGGGCTGTGTAGGCAGCCAGATTAGCCGGGGATCCCGAATAAGGCTGGACATTGACTCCCCACTGTGCAGGATCCAGGTCAAAGGCCTCCAAGGCCCGGCGCTGACACAGCAGCTCGATTTCATCCACTACCTCTGCTCCCCCATAATACCTGCATAGGAGGGGGCATATCAGGGCACAGAGAAAGGTTTCCACCATGTCCCTTGGCCAACAGCAAAGGACCAGGAAGGCTACTCCTCTAAATGCACTGGGAGAGTGCAGGCAGGTGTCCCCCACTGGGAGCACCATCCCTGAGGCTGCCCTCCAGCCCTCACCTCTTGCCAGGATAACCCTCCGAGTACTTGTTGTTCAGACAGGACCCCAGGGCCTCCAGCGCAGCTCGGCTGCAGAAGTTCTGGGGTGAGGGGTGGGGGCAATGTCAGAAGGTACTGAGCCCCTTTCCCTGGACTCCCTCAGCCCACCCTGCCAGAGTCCCGGGCTGCAAGGAGCTAAGCTCTACAAAAAGCTCTGTTCATTCAGGGTTCCTTGCCAGGCTTGGGGCATGGCCAGAGGCAGCATCCTAAGAAACCCAGGCACAATGATAAGTGTCCCCAGCAAGGCCTCCTTCCACTCATACCTGTGCTTCCAGGTTCCTCTTTTCTCTTGGGAAGGGGGAAAGACCAGACTTGACTGCTGAGGCCCTGAAAGGCTCTGGAAACTTGCTAATGCCCCCATCCCATAACCCACACTGGCTCTGCCTTTGCTTCAGAGGACAGTAAGAGAGGCAGATGAGGCCCAGCAGGAAGGCCCTGAGTCTGAAAAGGAGATCTGTAGAAACAGCAGTAAGATGACCTGTCACTTCCTGCACCCATGGTGGCCCAAGCCTTGGCCCCTCTCCCCAAGCCCCACCTCCGAGGCAATGAGTTCCAGGCCACGACACTGCCTGTCCTTCTCCCTTTGCAGCAGCTCCCACATCTCGGGGTCACTGTCTGAAAGGCTTTCCTGGCCTGTCCAGCCCCTGGTTGCTTCCCCATTCTGGGTCTGGGCTGCCTCACTGTGCTGGCACCGTATGGCCATCCTCACCAGCTGACCACATCTCTGCAGAGGCTAGGGAAAGAAAAGCCAGAGTCAAATAAAAGCATCTAGATAGATAGTCTCCCAATAACCATCAGACATGTTTAGCAGGCCCTCTAGCTCCAAACCTAACAGCCAGCTGTCCAGCCTGCCTGTTCCAGTTTTCACCACCCCCACCTCCAAAAGCCAGTTCTAGAGCCAAGGTTGAGATCAATGTCCAGGGGGTGATTCTGATTCAGTCCATTCACCTCACCTCAGAATCTTCCTCCACCTTGACCCATGAACCACTCTGCAAAGTTACTGGGCAAAGTTTCAAGTTTGTCTTCTAGGAGCCAGAGGTTTCAGAACCTCCCCTTCCCGCTCCCTGCCACCCTCCCCCAAACAAAGCGTCTTCCCTATGTAGGGCTTCCATAAACTGATATCCCAGTGGCGTGGGGGGGGGGGCAAAATTGCAAAGGATTAAGACAACAGTCTTAGAGGTGGCTTTCAGAACAACGGAGGTAGCAAGGTAGATCCTTAGCCATCTCAAGGGAAGAGGGGTGGGGGGTCTGATGGCAGTGAAGCCAAAAACCACATCCAGTCCTCTGCCCTACTCCACCTCCTTCCAGCCCACAGAGCCGCGGGACCCCTGATGCAAGCAGTGGGGCTCGGTTGCATCATCTGCACGGCTCAGAGCTTGGAGGAAAGACTCAGCTTGCCTGTCCAGGCTGGAAACCCCACTGTTCGCGAGCACAGCATCCACGGGGCATCTGTTATAGTTCTCCCCCACTGCCATGTGAAATGAAGGGTCACATGGCCTGGGGGCTCCTAATTACCGGAATGGGGAGTGGCCCCAATTATACCAAGCACAACCGGGGGTCTCGGGGGCACACCCAGAGGTATCGGTGACTACACTAGTTGCGAGTCGGCTTCTGGAGGACCCAGACCATGTGCACGGAAAAGCCAGGAGTACCCCATAGTTTGAGAATGGATTCTACGGCAGAAGGGCAGCATTCTTTCTACCCAGGTTACGGAGCCCCATTCTTACCCGAGTCGCCCAGAGCAAAGAGAAGGGCAGCATCGCAAACCCAAGTCTCAGGAGGTCGAGCCACCAACTCTGGCTTAAGGAAGCAAGAGGTCGGAAAAAGACTGTTCCAAGAGCGCATGCGCGGGAAGAGCGAGCCGGAGAAGCCACATGATTTGAGAGTAGGGACCTAAGCATGCGTGAGGCGACCCCTCTACGGTCTTCTGGGAATTGTAGTTTTTTCCACCTTTCTTCCGCTTCATTTCCTGTCTGTAGCCCCAGGGTCAGAGGCTGTAGCCTGAAAGGAAAGAGATCTACTACTGCCCCATCATCTCACTGTATCGAAGAGCTTCAGGGTTTGTTTGGGGTTTCTCTGTCGTCCAGACAACCACCATTTATTGGATGCCTACTGAATACTTAGCATTATTATTAGGCTTCCTGGAAAATACAAAGATTCTTATACAAGCTAGAGAGCCATGGTGCCCTGGAAGGTACCAGGTTTGGAAAGGTGAGAGATATAAGTTCAAGTTCCAGCTCTGGGACTAACTAGCAAATTCGCCTACCTGGGCCTCAATTTCCTCGCTTGTAAATCAATGATAAATTAATATGTGGCAGGGCCCTGGCTGGTGTGCCTCAGTGGATTGAGTGCCGGTCTGCAAACCAAAGTGTTGTAGGTTTGATTCCCGGTCAGGGCACATGTCTGGGTTTCCAGCCACGTTCCTGGTTGGGGACATGCTAGAGGCAACCGCTGATGTTTCTCTCATACAACATGTTTCTCTCCCTCTCTCCCTCCCTTCCCCTCTCTAAAAATAAATAAATAAAATCTTTTAAAAAATAACGTGGTGGGGATTAAATGAGATTTTGTATGTAAACATCTCTGGAATGGATTGTCCTCCCTGCCTCCTCCTTGGCCATCTCCTCCTCCTGGGAAGTCCCAGAGCTGAATGAGATGCCTTTCTTGTTGTTGTACTTCTTGAATTTTGTTCACCTCTTGCTGCCCTAGCAGTCAGTGAGCTCTCTTTACTTCTCGGGGGCTCTGAGTATTTGGACCTGGAAGGGATCTTCCTTTTAGCCTGACTTTCTCTGGCCTCATCCTTTGAGGGAGGAACTCATTGACCCTTTCAGGAGGTTCCCAAACCTGGGCATCAGAATTAGCTGGGAAATATGATAATAAATATATGAGTGTGCAGCCGCTCCTTAGAGGTTCTAGTTCAATGGATCTTAAAGAGTAGTGGGCATATGCCCACTCATGCTGACACAACAAAACCTCTTCTCGTGATTCTAATATGCAGTGATTTTGAGAACCATTGCCTCACATAACAATATTACACATTCATTAATTCATTTATTGATTCAATATACATATTGAGCTCCTACTCTGTGCCAGGCATGCCATAGCCCTGGAAGTATAAGAATAGATTACTGACTGCTGGGACATCAAGCAGCAAACAGGTAACAAAATACAAGTGCAATTACAGGCAGGGACACACCACTCTACTCCCACAAGTCCAAATGTCTGAAGAAGAGGGTGGGAGAAGGAGGAGGAGAGGATGGTCTTGAAGGAGGCAGGTCTGTGAGTCAGAGGAAGAGGGGAAGACAATCCATCACAAAGCAAGTTCACATGCAAAATCTCATTTTATCTCACACTATTTTATTATTGCTTTACAAGTGAGGAACCTAAGGCCCAGGTGGGTTAACTAGCTAATTCCAAGCATTCCCACTTGACCCTCATACCAGGCCTCAGAAGTCCTGCCTTAGCTCTCACCTCCTTCCCTCCCACTCTTCCCCACAAGTGTCCTCAGGCCTTTCCAGCAGGCCTGGTGTTAGGAGTCCCCTGGGTTCTTCTCCTTCCGCCAATCTCTGACCCAGAATCACTTCCTATTTCTCTCCTTTTCAGTTGACCCTGTTATTCAGTTCATCCACTCGCCTATCCATCCATCCATCAGACATTTTCCCCTTACCCACTTTTCATTTCCAGGGTCACACTTACCTTTGACTCAGTTTCCTGCGGGAGCCAGTGGGCAACCCCCTGAAGAACACTGCTCTAAGTCGCTACCTTGACCCAGGACTAAAGATGAGGGAAGGCTGAAGACAAGGCGTCGTTCCGTGCAGCAGCTTGTCTGTACCCCCCTCCATAGTCCCGGTCGGGGGTCCCGGGGGGAGAGGGGCCGCTGAGCTTGAGAACTGCTAATGAAGCCGCAGCCAATTAACGCCCAGGCCAGGGTTGGGGGCGGATAAAATTAGCAGCCGCGGTTGCAGGAGTGAGCTGGAGGCGGGGGTGGGGAGGGTGGGCAGCTGGCTGAAGGGGGCCTTGTTTGCCGGAAGCTTGCAGCGCCGAAGAAGCTCCGCTTTCCAAACTCTCTCGTCCCTTCCTCCACCCCCTCTTCTCAGGCTTCACTCCCTCTCTCCCTCATCCGTCTGCAAACTCAGCGCCCACGAAATTAGGAAGGAAAAGGAAGATCGATGACTCCAGATGCCGCAAACACCGTTCCCCCTCCCCCCACCCCGCCCCCGCCGCCTCCGGGCAGCCCCGCGGAGCTTAGCAGGTTGTCAGCGCTCTGCTTATGATGTTCCTGCATCTCCTTGAATGGGAATTCAAAGCCTTTATACCTCCTCCCCGAAATCATCCCAAACAGCCCGCTAATAGTCCCCTCTCAAGTTTAATTTAATCTCCATCCTCTCTGCAGCAGTTTCCCTCTGCCCACCTTTGGGAGGAAAATCCCCAGTTCAGGGAGGGCTCCTACCCAAGAGTCGTTCTAATCTGATCTGGTCTTGGATAACCTCCCAGGTGCTAGATCCATCAATATTTGCCTCAGTTTCCCCACGAGCCACCAGATGAGGAGGCCCTGATCAGGTCTCTGCCAGACATAAAAACCCACACTGTCTCTCCTGCCCGCCTTCTTTACAAAGGTCTCACACAGACTCGTATTGGAATTCACTTTATTTTTTGTTCCCTTTCCCGTCTGTTGTGGAGTAGAAAAAAAAAAATCACCAAGAGGAAGCAGCCGGAAAGGGGCAGGTGGAGCAGGGCTGTAGGGACTGGAGGAAGGCAGGCACAGGGCAGGGGCCAGAGTCATCGCCTATGCCCAGGAGTCTCCTTCCACTACCCTAGATGAGGGTTTTGGGACAGAGGAACAGGCATACGGCAGGCAGAAGGGAATGGGGATAGGCCGCGGCTTACGCGTCTTTACTGTCTTTACGTGGGGACAGGGTGGAGCAGGAAACAAGAGCCTGGGGCTAAGAGAGTCAGGGTGGGATAAGGGTGTCAGGCCAGGCGTTATTAAAGCTGCTGGCAAAGGGAGTGTCCAGCCCAGCGCCGGGGGCATAAAGGGGCCCCAATGCGGACGTAAGGGACGCTGGGACCGCCTATTCTGGGGCTGCGCTCTTGTTCCTCCACTCTGGGGTGTAGCTGAGGGGGCCGCAAAGGCACTCCCCCTACGGAAAAGGGGACCCACGCCAGCTGATAGTCCCCCGGAAGGCTGTTCCTCTCCGCCCCCGGAATGGAAGGATGGACGCGGCCACAAGAGTTTCGGAGCACAGGGGGGAGTCTCACTTGGGGGGGGGGGGCGGGATTTGGCGGGAAGCTCAGGGCCGGGGCGAGGGCGAAGTGCACTATCCGAAGTAGGGGTGCTCGCTCTGGAAGTTATAGTCTGGGCATACCTTCTGCACCAGTTTGTAGTCAAAGCTGAGGAAGGAGACGAAGATGCAGATGACTTTGAAGGGCTTGGCACAGAGCCACGCGGCCTGACTCTGCGTATGCTCCGTGAAGCATACCTGCGACGGGTCGTACAGGCACGGGCGGTGCTTGCGCGCGCGGTTTGTCTTCTCATACTCCACGTGACAATTGAAAGCGCGTGACTCTTTGGCCCCAGGCACTCCCAGGGCGCCCCCAAGTGGGCCCGCCAGAGCGCCGCCGAGGGTGCTTCCTAACCCCGCCCCTGCGGCCGCTAGCCCCAGCGGGGGCCCCAGCCCAGGGAGAACCCCTTCCAAGGCCAGCGTAGACTGCAGAGGGTGAGGGGCGTGGCTCGGCAGCCATAGGCCCCCAAACTCTACACGTTTGGAGGGCGGCACGATACTAACACTGAGATTTCCCAGGCTGGACGAATTGTGGCGGAAGTATACGCTGAAAGTCCCATTCACGTGGTCCACAATCTTGCCGGTCACCAGCAGTGAGAATTTGAGGGTATGCACCCGGAAGTAGAAGTCCCCCCAGCCAAAGATCTTTTTGGCGCGGGCCGCTTTGATAGACGGCTTTCTCTTGGTGCGCTGCACGGGTAGCGCCCCCGCAGCCCCCACCCGGGACAGTGCCCCGGTGTGGTTAGCCGGCCAGGCCCAGCTCCAGGCGCGGGCGGTGCCCAGGCCGTGGGAAGACTTAGCTGCCTGGAGCCGTTGGCCAGGGGCGCCCACTTCGGCCGCAGCGGGGGGCAGCTCCAAATACTGCGGCCTCCCGGACTCTGGTATCTGTGCACTGACAGCCTGTGGGTGAAGAAAGAGGAAGAAAAAGGGACGCTGGGGTTGTCCCTGGACACCATACCAGGGCTTTACCCGTGCCAGCCCCTTTCCACAGTCACTAGGAAACCAAATGGAATCGGTCAGCCCTCAGTGAGTGGTTCAGGGAGTGTGCATTGGAGTAGACCTGCAGCCCTTTCAAGCGTTGTGGTCTTGGCCAAGTCACTTCACCTATGTAGGTCTCAGTTTCTACGTCTATAAAATAACACTGAGAATCCTTCTGTTCTCCAATGCAGCTGAGAAAGCCCAAGCCAATGTGGATTTGAATAGGGGGACTGGCGCTCTGTCCCTTCCAGCCTGGAGCCTCGTTGGTTCAGAGCAGCAGTTTTTCCACCTTTTTCATCTGTGACACACCAAAAATATATATTTTTTGCCAATCTGACCCCCCCCCAAATGGGTATAATTTTGATTCATTCATACCAGATGGCTGTTGTGTTGGCTGTTGTCATTTTTTTGACAACCTAAGGGAAAACACGTCAGGGCCCCTAACTAAATAGTCACGTAGCGCATGTTTTAAAAATTCTTGGACACACCAGTGTGCCGCGGCATACGGGTTGAAAATCGCAGGTTCAGAGTAATGGGGCCAGGGAGGAGCTAGGCTCAGGCAAGTGAGGCCATGACCCCTATCAACATCCAGCATCAACAAAAAGGTGAAGACCTCCAGATAGCTCTGCGGAGACTACAGCCCCCACCTGGGCCTCATCCTCTACTCCCTTGCGGGGAGGAGCATGGGAAACTAGTAGAGCTGAGAAGGAGAGCAGTGGAGAGACTGGAAGCTGTGGGTTAAGGCTGGGGGAATGCTGTGGTACGCCTCCTGGCTTCCAGTGCTCCTGCTCTGCGGGGGAGGCCGCCTGGTGGTTCTTCCCTGGGCTCAGAAGTGGCAGGAGGAGCCGCCCTAGCTCGCCCCCACCCTTGTGTCTCAGGTGGTGGTGATCTGGGAGACAGCGCAGGCTCAAGTACAAGATAGATAGAGAGGCGGGAGCAGCGGGGCCAGGCCCAGGCCATCAATTATCTGGGGGTGGGGGGGTGGGGGTGGCCGGGAGTGAAGGAGACAGTCGGTCAGAGCTAGAGGAAGAAATATGGAGATGCCGCTACAGCGAGGGGACTGGGAGGGAGAGAAGCTGTGCTTGTCAGAGTGTGTCAGTCAGACTGTGCTAGCTGCGGCTGTTTGGGTGGCCTTTGCTGCCTCTGGGTTCAGTTTGGGGGGAGGGAGTACTGCATGTGTCACTTTGGGACAGTTGTGATTCTGTTAGCCCAGGATGGTTGTATTGCGTGTCTATCTGGAGTGATTGTGTGTGTAGCTATGGTGATGGGTGTATGTCTGCCTGGGGTGGCTGTGCATGGTGATTATGTGTGTGGCCCTGGTGACTGCATGTGTATGGGTGTCCGCCTGCTTGTGGCAGCTGAATGTCTGTTGTGTAGGTCTGTGACGGCCATGTATGCATGCCTGGGTGGTACGTGTGCTTGGTTGTATGTGTATCTGGGTTGGCTGTGTGTGTTAATCTGGGCGAAGCTGTGTATCAGTTTGTGGTAGTTGCGTCTGTGTGACTGGTGTTAGTGGTAGGCCTGGGTTGGCTGTGTGTGATTCTCTGGGTGCGTCGCTTTTCCTGTGTCAGTTCCTATCATCCTGTGTCCCTGTGTCAAGCTCCTTCTAAAGGGTATGTGTCAGTATATCCACAGCGATAGAACAAATGCTCTTTCACCGTGTTCCCCCCAGGAGGGGGGTGCTCGTGTGTGAGTTGTATATGAATGGTCTCTGCTGACGGAGCTCTGGGTAGGTAAAGAGGCCTGACAGCACTGGTGTCCTCCTCTGGGTTGTATACACCCATGTGCATACACCATGTGTCCACGGGGGACAGGAACGGCAGAGTCAAGCCGCTGGGCTAGAAGCTCCACCGCCTGGCCCCATCCCTGCAGCGCTGCGATCCTGGGTTATTAATGCAGCCGCCACCGGATCATCATACATATTTATCGCCCCCCTCATTCCTCCTCCCATCTGTACCTCCTCCCAGCTCAGGTGAGGGGTGCGGGGGCCGCATGAGTGATTGACTCAGACGGACGTGCTGGAGCTGGCAGCTAACACCGTGAGGGTTGGCCTGAGAGGGGCGGGGGCGGGGTGGGGAAGAGGTCCTAGGTCACAGCAGGAGGGGGAAAAGGCCTCCCAGGAGGAAGGGCCAAGGCTCCAGGAAGTGGCCTTGCAGAGGGCAGAGTGGGAGCCCCAGAGAGGGCTTTGGAGGAGGGAGCGTATGAAGCTACAAGGGAAAGTGGAAGGGGGCGGGGGGGGGGCGCGGCATTTGAACTCTGACACCTCATCTCCTCACCCCCCCTGGGCCAACCGCTGCATTTCCCAGGGACTTGTATCTGTCCCCGAAGCGTGCTGCTACAAACCCCAAATGCCTCTGCACCACCCCTGCCCCCAGCACACCCGGCAGCACCCAGAGTCCTGAACCCTGCCTAGGAACTGTGGAGGGCTGATTCAGTCTAGCAGCCTTTCCCAGGCAGGGGCTGGGACAGCAAAGCAGGTTTGGCTCGGCAGTGGGGGGTGCCAGGTGTTGGCCCTCTGATCCCAGACAAATTGCTCTCTGTGCTTCTCTGATCCTGGCAAATCCCTGGGCTTTGGGCACCTGCACCCCCACCAGCCCATAGGAGACAGCCAAGATGAAAGGACAGAGTTGGGGGGCAGCCAAAGCAACCTTGCAGTGGGGTTGGGAGCTCGGACAGAGAGGGGCGAGAGTCTGCGAGGAAACGAGCCGAGAAATGGGAACATGGAATAAAATAAAATAAAATCCTCCCTCTGGCTTCCTTGCTCACCCGCTCCCTCTCCCTCTCTAGCTCTCCCTCTTTTCACTGTTTTTCCATCTCTCTGACTCTCAGCTCTCAGTCTCTTCCTCACTCTTTCTCTAATTTTCCTTTTATGATTCTATTTTCCCCCGTTTCTGCCTCTAACTGTGATTCTTTTCCTCTCTTTTTTGGAATGTCTGTCTTTCTCCAGCTGTGGGTGGGGGTGGAAGTGAGGGGAAAACAAGGTGACAAGGGAGCCCCTCTTTGCCCAGAAGCCATGGTACCGCCTACCCCCACCTTGTAAGACTAACTCGAGAACAGGGTGTTGTCCGAGGAGGGGTCCCTCTCGATCCAGAGCTGGTTTAATTAAGCTAATTGAGCGCGGTGACATTTGCAGAGGGGAGAGGCTAGCCAGGCTGTCGGCTGCGGGGAGGGGGGAGTTGAAGGTGTTCAGTGGCAGACAGGGATGGGGGGTGGGGGGGGTGTACTTCACCAGGCGCCTCCAGGCCCATGCAGGGTGGGAGCAGAGCCAGGAGCGCTGTGCCCCCAAGGCAGCAAGCCCACGCATGGAGGGGAGTTGAGGCTGCCTCTTGCTGCTGAACAAACTCTGCTGGAGGGGGGCGCTGTTTTGGGATGGGACTGCTAGGAGTGGGGGGAGGAGGATCAGACTGCCGGCCCCCCAGCCGCATTGCGGGGCGCACCTCCCCCGGGCCTCCAGACTAGTCCGTCGCTTCTCTCCCGCTGTGTGGGTCAGGCGGGGCTGTTTAAGATTCCTACGGGGGGAGGGGACGGCACCCTGTGGTTGGGGAAGGAACAGTGCTCGGTGCTCCGCCTGGGTTGGGGACAAGGAGGGAAGAGTGTCCTGAGCTTTTGCACCTAGAAATAGGCCGGGGCACTGCAGTCAGGGCGGGGTGGAGTAGCTGGGGTCTGGCTAGGAACGAGGGATGGAGATAGGAGTGAAGGCAGAAGTGGGGTGGACAGGACAGGCCGGGGTGAAGACTGGGACAGAAATGGAGGGGGTTGGGAGTGTGGACTTGGAAGGCATGGGTATTGGGGACAGAGATGAGGATGGAACAAGGGTGGGAGCAGGGATGAAGAGGAGGAGATCAGAAATGGTGGACAGGCATTGGGCAGAGACAGGGATACCGATGGGGTAGGGACCAGAGAAAGGAAGAAGGGACAGAAGGGGATGGGAACCAAAATGAGAGTAGGGGAGAACAGGGATGGTGGATGAGGGATGGGCATTGGGGACTCAAGGAATGAGAAAGGTATGGGACTGGGGTATGCGGGTAGGAACAGAAATGGGGGGGGGGGGTGTTGGGAATGGTTATTGGGCAGAAACAGGGATGCTGAGGGAGACAGAAACCCAGGGGATGGGATGGGCGATATGAACGGGGGCTGAAATGAGAAATCCGGGATAAGTAGGGGAGTGGACGAAAGGGACAGACAGGAGCTGGGGACAGGTGTGGGAGACAAGTCAGAGGAAAAGGCAGAAGAAGGAAAGGATTCGGCTGGGGGTGGGTACAGGCGGGTGGAGGTGCAGATACCTCCCTCCAGACTCGATTATAGTGTGAGGGGGCGGGGACCGCTGGTGGGGCCGGCTCTGCCCTTGGGCCGGGTACCACCTCCCCCTCAGCCCCGCCTGCCCGCCTGCTCTCGGCCTGCAGCGGAAGGCTCACCGTTATCTGAATTTTTATTTTATTTTATTTTATTTTATTTCCCTGCTTCCTAGAGCTGGCGCGGTCCCCCCGGGAACAGCGCCCCCCGCCCCCGCCCCGCGCCTCACTTTATTATTGCAATAAATGTGCCTATAAAGGCGCGGGCTCCGGGGCGCGGTGGGGTGGGGGCGGGCGGGAGCCGCGGAGCGGGGATGTAATTTCCCGAAGCCGAAGCCGGAGGGGGAGTGGGCGGGGTGGAGATGGAGGAGGGGTAGGCGAAGGAGAGGGGGGAGACTCGCCAATTTCCAGCGCTCAAGGCAGCGCTCCCTGCTCTCCGTCCCCACCCCGCAGCTCACTTCCACCCCACGTCCGGACACTCCCCGCTGCTCCCCTGAATCGCTCGAGCCCCAAGAAACACCCCTTCGGCCCGACCCTGCCCTTTCTCCGTTATCTGTCCCCTTCCTGGACCCCACCCATGTGAAGTTGCAGGGCTCTGTCCAAAGTTCTCCATCCCCTGGCCAATGACTTCTCTCTGACCCCGGAGATGCCCTCTTCACTCACCTGGTCTCTTTCAGTGTTATCTCGCCCCTTCCCAATGACCCTGTCTCTGACCCTAGTGACCCTTTTTCACCTTGCTACCCTGTCCCTCAATTACCTCACATCTTCCTCAGTCACGCAGTCCTGTATCTCCAGCTCCTCCCTGGCTCTCACCCACGGACACTCTAGATTTTCTCCAGTGGGCACCCCTCCCATACAGGCTTTGGCCCAAGGGAGCTGTCCCAGCGACCCCCTCTCCTGTGAACCTAGCCCACCTGCGGCCCTGATTACCTCCAAATCCCTACCAACATCCCTGGGCCCTATCCCAAGCTGCACGTGCCTAAGTGGCCCAGCCAGAGATTAGCTGGGGGGCTAGAGAGCGTTGTGGAGGCGAGAGGAATAAGCTGGACAGGAGGCTGGGTCCAGCTGGCTCTGAGACCCGCTGGGGCTTAATCCTTCCCCCCGGGCAGGAACGAGCTGGAAGGCCCCACAGGGCCCCACCCCTGCCCTCCCCCAGCTAATTAGTAATTAGTGATTAGTGATTAGTAACTATTGATCGCCTGCTGCTTCTCCCAGTAGGCAGATGCTTTGGCAAGGAGTGGGGAAGACAGAGAGGGAGAGAAAGAGTCAGAGACCAGACTGTATTAGAGAGATCCTGAAGGAGACCTGGCCCAGAGGGCGGGGCCCCAGGGTCAGTGGGAGCCAGGAGTCCCAGGTCTTGAAAGGAGACAAGGATCCTGCAGCAGAGAGAAGGGAGGAAGAGCTCCTGGCAGGGGACAAGGGAACAAGGTGGGAGAAGGCAGGGTTGTAATTGTGGACAGTTAGGGTTTCCCAAAGAGCTGCTCTGTAAACTGTTCCCCACCAGCCTCTTACCCAGTGTCAACCCACTGCCAGGCCTGGCACTGAAACAGCCCTGACCCCCCCCCCCCCACACACACATGCCACACTCAGATACATGGGTTCATGCTGAGGCTTACAGCCCAACATCCTCACACAAATGCACTCAAAACCACAAACACAGAAACACAATCACAAACCTCAGAGACTCATACAGACAACACATGGGCCGCAGCACACAGGTACACTGGAGATCCACCTTGCGGTGCACACATGTGCACAAGTCATACTCACAAATGCACACTAGTACACATAGATAGGTACTCTGACATACAAACGCTTTTCTACACACACTCCCCATGCACTGTTACAAATACCCTCACACCTACAGTCTGTACACACAGGTAAATCCCTTCTCACATGCACACGGGCTGGACTAAATGGCAGACACACTTCCCCACTGACTCTAACAGGGATACCCTCAGTTGCAGCTCTCACACACACTCAGCTAGATCCCCATCGCTCATGTCCTCATGCTTATGCTCCCTCAAGTCTCTACCAGATGTTTCATTCCCCTTCAGGGGGCAAAGGAAATTAAGCCAGATCTGTCCACAGGGGAGTTTATGTGATCAGGAGAGTGGAGAGGAGAACAGAAGGAAATAGAAATGAGGGGGCAGGGGAGTACCACTCCTCCTTCCTCTCCCCCAAGCCCTCACAAACAGTGGGTTATGGGGCACAGACCCCCTTGCCGTCCTCTAAGGGCAGAGCTGGGCAGCAAGTACAAAAGAAGTTCCAGCTAGTGGAAGCGGTTTCTGTGAAGGGGGCTCCTCGGCCCATCTTCCAGCCCCTCAAGGTCATCAGGCTGGTTTGGGAGAATCAGGGAGCTCAAGCGCCAGCCTCACTAGGCGCCCCTGCCCTGCTGGAGCAGTTGGTGCAATTTGGCTGAGCAGGTGTGTGGGGGAGTCCAAGTGTTAGGGGCAGAGCTACATCCCCTTCCAGACTCTTCAGGGGCTGGGGGTTGGGTACAGGGAGTAGGGGTTTAGGAAGCCACCCGTCTGCCCCCAGGCCAGCTAGGTTACAGTTGGGGTGCAGGAAACAGGGAAGTCATGGGCAGGGGAGCATATTGAAGGAGACAGAGGGCCAGGGCCTAGGTCCCCACTGTTGGACACACAGTGGGGCACAGATGGCTGCACTGTGAAGCAGGCACTTGCACTCATCCCTTCAAAACCAACACCACACAGCATACCAGCGTACACATGCACCTTGGTCCCCAGCACTAGACACCCAAGCCTGGCTGCCCCGGACACATACGTGTACACAGGTGAACACATGCTGCCCCACACACTCTACACCAGCACAAATGAGCACACCATGTACACGAGTTGAAGCCTCCAAGTCAGGAGAGAAGCTGATCAAGTCTGGGCCCCCATCGCCTCGGAGTCCTCGCCCAGGATCCTCAGGGAAAGAATCAGCCTAAGGAAGTGGGGACATGGAGGGGACAGGAGGAGAGACTCCCCTTCCAAACAGCCCCTACCCCTATCAGCCGGCGCCAGAGAGGGGTGTGTCTGTGAGGTTGTGCAGGGGAGACCGTGTCTCCGTGGGAAATGTGATGGGAGATTGTAGCCTAGTTCGGCCGCATCTGTGTGCGTCCGTGTGTGCGCGCGTGTGTTCGGGCGGTGTATGTTCGGAACACAGTGCCCACCTGGCATGGGAACAAGTGCAGAGAAGAGAAGTGCGAAGGCGCGAGTGGAGGGGTGGAAGGACAGACAGCGAGGGTGGCGAGCGAGGTTGGCGCGGCAAGGCGGCAAGGCTGACACCCTGCTGGCTTGTCTGTCTGTCTCGCACTCCAGCTCCGTCTGGCGCACTCGCAGGTCTTGTTTCGTCCCCTCCCCCGCCGCTCCCGGAGCCAGATCCGAGTCGGGCCCCCACCCCTGCCCCTGCCCCTGCCCCTGCCCCTGACCCTCAGCCAACTTGCGCTGGGAGAGCGCCAGTCCTGGATTGAGGAGTCTGTTGTCGGCGTCCCCTACGCCGCACAAAGTTGGGATGCTCAGGGCTGGGGGCGAGGAGGGCTCACGGAGCCCCTCGCACTCTGGGACCTTTGCGTCCCGGACCCCAGTGCTCGCGTTGCAGCCCTGCTGCCCTTACCTTCTTCAGGAGCCACGGGCCAAAGAGCAAGAGAAGCCATTCCGGGAGCAGCCGCATCTTCCCTGGCGGCGAGCGGGGAGGGTGGGTTGGGTCCCGGGGAAGGTCCTTGCCTGGCCGAGGGCAAGGGGCTCCCAGCTGGCGCGCCGGGGGTGGCTGCGAGCGGCGGAGTGGAGGCGAGGCCAGCGGACTGAGCGAGAGGAGCGAGCACGGCGCTGGGGGCGGGGCGCGGGCGGGGGAGAAAGTTGGGTCGGACTCGGGTAGCGGGCGGGGGCGGGGCTCCGTGGTGCTCCAATCCCGGCCGCGCCCTGCGCGCCCCCTCCCGCCCGGCTGGGGGCACCGAAGGTGACTTTCACCCTGACACGCCCCGGACACGCCCCCGGCCCAGGTGTAAAGTGGAGAGGGCGGCGGGACCTGGGATGGTGAACCTGAGAGGCTGGGTCTGTGCACCGACGAGGAGGAATAGGGCAGGGCGCGGGACTCAAGCTCTGGGACAGTGTCCCTAAAGGGCCCAGCACAGCCAGGGTCCCTGGATGCTCCAGGCCAAGGTGGGTCCCTGGGCTAGAGCAGGGTCGGACCGAGGTGAAGGCGGGCGGAGCCTCGGGCGTCTGCCCGCCGCGCAGCGCTGACGGGGATGGATGGGCGCCCCGCGGCTCATTCGGCCGGGAGATGAGAATCATTGATCACGGACGGAAACCCCATCACGTCTGTCAATAGGGCTGACAAACGGCGCCCGCCGCCCGCAACCCGGCCCCCAGGGCACCTCCACGGTCTCAGGACTCCTCTGCTGGACTGGCCGTTCACCTTTGCCCCTCTCCCCCAACCGCTGACCCCCACCCCGCAGGTCCCAGAGCGTCCCTGCGTGGGGGTTGGGCAGGAAGTCTCCCTCAGAACCGCCTTGTCTGGCCTATTGGTGCAATATCTATCCCTTCCTTTTCTCTGCCCTATCTTTCACTATGTGCTCCTCTCCATTCTTGTCCCCTTCTTCCTCTTTCTCTGTCCTTGTCTCTGTCCCCAGCTTCATCTCTGTCCCTATCCTCTCGGCTGTTTCTTCACTGCTCCCTCCTCCCCCTAGTCAGTCTCTCTCTCTCCCTCTCTCTCCCTCTCCCTCTCTCCCCCTGCCCAGGGAGTCTTCAGCTGTCAGCTGTTGCTATGCACTGAGGCTGTGGCTGAGGTTGTGGTATGACCGACACCTAGACAGGTAGAGATAGGGACATGCAGAGAGATAGGCGCAAGCAGAGACATAGAGACAAGCATAGAAATAGAGAGACAGACACATACCCTGAGACACCAAAACACATACACTCGGGTGTGCATGTAGATGTATTCACAGTTGCGCACCATACCATAGAGGTGAGCACGAAGGCAGAGAGTGAAACACATTCATGCAGAGACCAGCACACACTAGAGGCACACTGACACACAGATGGACACACTTGGTTTACACACATATAGGAGCACACATGGAGACAGACAAATGTACGGTTGCACCAAGAGACAAGTACGCCCAACCAGGTACTCAGAGCCCACCCTGCCTCCTTGCCTTGGCAGGGAGGCAAACATTCAGAAAGATGGACACACACATAGGTGTACACTGGCACTGGCAGTCCAAAAGGCAAGCCCAGGTACATACAGATAGATATAGGGATGTGACAGATGCACACACAAAGGATCTGAGATGCAGAGAAGATGAGGCAAAGACAGACAGACAGTAGCCAGGAGGCAGGAACCTGGGTGCAAGTGGGGCAGAGAGGAGAAAAGCAGGAAGGGGCAGGAGTGGCCAGGCCCTGCGCTTCAAAGCTCCAACCAGAATCTTGAACCCAGGTCCCAAGCCCATGGGCTGCTGCAGAAGTGGGTAGGGTAATGGGCACCCCTAGGCCTCGGGTGCCCAGAACAGATGCTCATCAATAGGGTCTTGATCAACTGGAGCCATGACCCACCCAATCTCTCCTCCTTTTGCTACAACCTAAGGTCTCCTCCTTTTCTCTTCACAAACACACACACACACACACACACACACACACACACACACACCCCCCTCCCCTCCTCCCCTCTGTGTCTTGCCTCTGTCCCTGTATCTCTTCATCTCTGTATCTCGTTTCTTTCTGACTATACCGCCTCTGCCCCTGGTTCTGCCCATCTCTTCTCCATCTGTTTTAAGCCCCCTCTGTCATTCTTGCCAAGTGGGGAGTTATCGAGGACTGCCTCCTGGTAGACCCTCTCCTGGCTGTTCCTGGAGGGCAGAGAGAGGATGCTGACTGGAGGGGTGTGCATTCCAAGCCGCAGCTGGGGGCCCCTCTCGCTTTGCCCAGGATCTTGAGGCGACAGGCAGAGAATCAGTGGCTCCCCGGGGGCGCCAGATGCACGGCTGGCAGAGGGAGAGAGTGAGGGGGTGGGGCTGGTGGTAGTGTGGTGGAGGAGCAGGCAGGCGCTGGGGGAGGGAGAGGAGCCGGCTGGCTGAGGGTGGAGGGGGTGTGGCGGAATAGCCCGAGGGAAGAAAGTGAGAGGCTGGGCTGGGGTCCGCCCGCAGGTGCATAATTAGTGCGTGTTGAGGAGCGGGTAGTGCTGGGCTTCTGGATGAACGGCGCTGCAGGAGCGCATACGCCACCTGGTGGACAGATGGGTACACAAGCCTCCCTCTCCACAATCAACAAGGATGCCCCCTTTTATCAGCAGGGTCTCTCAGTCCCGGGCTGGGGAGCGGCTTTGGGGAGAACCGAGACAGCGGAAGGCCTCAGAGCTGGCTTGGAGATAGGACCTCAGGGGACAGAGGGAAGGGGAGGGTTCTTGTTTCTAGAGGTACCTGAACTAGGGAGGGAGGGGGAATGTAAGGCAGTGCTCCCACTTTGGGAATTGGGTAAGGGTTTTTTGCAGCTGCCTTCTCTAAGCTCATATTTTTTATTGGACGGAGAGAGGGGCTCAAACCCTCTGTCAGTGTAAAGCTGTGTGACCTTCTTCAAGAAGCCCCCTCTCTGGGCAGGAAGTGAAGTATACTGGGGATCCCTTTGCTTGTAGCTGCCCTTTCCTGTCCACCCCTGGGATGTCTGAAATGATTGGTGAACTGGGTCTGTTGGTAGCCATAGGGCCTGGCAAACTGGTTTGCCCTGCTCTCCTTCACTCCAGGGCCCTCCCTTCTCCTGAATCCAGGGTTCTACTCTTGGCATCTGATTAATTAGTCTCCATGACGTGTGGGATGTTAGTGCTTTAAGAACAACATCAGGCAGAGATTGCTATATGGGAGTACCCCGAAGGATTAGAAATCCCTTCACAAACCCAGTGTGTTCATTTCTCATGGTGCGATTTCTCACTGTGGGAGATGATTTGGGTGGGGCTGGGTGGGGTGTCCCACAAAAGCAACAATGCAGAGAAACAGTTCTTAGAGTTTGTATCTTAGAGCCAGAAGGAAACAAGATCCAGAGAGGTGAAATCACCTGCTCGAGGTCACACACCCAGGAGAAGCAGAGTTTTCTTGTCAAGTCCAGTGCTATCCCTTTCTCCTGCCACCGCGAGATGGAGAGGGAGAGAGCTTAGGGGAGAAGGGCACTCTTAGATCACGCTCAAGCCTACCTCCAGCACGGAGCAGGGCTCCCTCTGGTGGCTGAAGCAGGCAAGCACAGCCCAGCTCCCGGAGTCTCCCACTCAAAGGTAGACACAAGTGGCTTTTTCTTTTTCTTTTCTTTTCTTTTTTTTTTTTTTACAATTTTATTTATAACAATATCTGTGTTATTTAGTTGTAAAGGAATTCAGCAAAAATTATTAAAACGTTCGTGTCCCCAAAACGGGGCTGCCCGTTTGCCCTTCCTTGGTGTGCCCCACTTCCTCCCCAGGGTAGGGGAGGCAGGGGTACTGTTTACCAAAGAAAGTCTCCAGCCCTGGGATCCACGTTGGGGGCACTGGAGAGGGGTTGCCTGTCTGGGAGGGGTACTGAGCGTGGCCATCTCAAAGGTGCCCCTAGAATGGGGGCTGGGGCATGGGATGGATGCCCCAAGAACTAAAAAACTCCATCCTTTCCTTCCTACCTCAGCCAGAGCCAAATCTTCCAGACAGAGGCAGCAAAGGACTCTCCTCCCCAGAAATAGCCCTCAAGGAGCTGGGAGGGGGTAAGGGAGGGGGTGAACTACAGGGGAGAGCCCTGACAAAGTGTCTTGTACAGGGAGGGGGAGGGAACACAACCAGCTCTTCCAGTGGGGGTGCATTTTGGTGGGAAGGTAGGAGGTGGGGGCCCCTAGTACCTGTAAGCCAAAGGAGCCCCCAGAGCCTCCCATGTCCCCCCCTCCCTGAAGGCAGCATGGGGGGCGCTGAGGAGCGGGCAGGAAGGAGAACGGAAAGAGATAATACTGTGCTCGCTTGCTCGCTTGCTCACTCACATATAAAAAGTAATTCCTTCATTTTTACATTTATACATCCCGGCCGGGCCGGGGAGGGCTGGCTGGGCAGGAGGGGGGCTCACTGAAGGACTTCTCTGGCAGGGGCAGGAGGCTCTCTGAGGGAAGTCCAATGGGGCAGGGGCCTATGCCAAAGGGTCCCCTATCTCATCCTCAGGGCCCCGGCCCAGGAGTTCTCGCTTCTCATCCGTGCTGGCCAGGGAGTGGCGGCTGCCGTGACCACCCATGTAGAGTGTGGCGTATACAGGGTTGGTGAAGTTGGTGGGCTGCAAGGTGACAGAGGATTCAGGTGGGACTCAGAGGCTGGGCTCCATGGCCCTGGTACCCCACCTCCCACCCCTGTTCCATCATCCAACTCAACACCCTTAGACACCCCATCCACAGCCTCTTGTCCCTGCCCTGGAAGCCACCTCCTCTGTCTTCCCAGCCCACCTTGTCAGGGTCCAGGGCAAAGTCAGCATCCAGTAGGCCCCCTACATCATCAGGCTCCCCGCCTTCATACATCTTATAGGTGGGATTCCCAATCTCCACGTTCATGGCCCCGTTGGTCATCCGCTGGTGCTGGAAGCCCTTAGCCCTGGGGAGAGGCAGAGGTACAGGGATCAGGAAGTCTAGAGGGGTAAGGCTAGGGTGGTAATGACTAGAATTTTCCGGACTCCCTATCACTCACCCCCG